CATGTAATTCAAGCTGGCCTTGAACTCACTCTACAGCCTAAACTGGCTTCAAACTGGCAATCTCCCTGACTCAATGTCACAAGCGATGAGATTATAGGCATGCCTTATCATGCTTGTTCAATGAATTTAAATCCAAATATGTTAGCTGGTTGAGGTGGCACCCTGTGATCCTAGCAACCTAGATGCTGAGGTGGGAGGATGTCACCCCCAGGATATCACTTCCTACATGTGCTTCCTTGCTCCAGCCTGAGTCCAGCAAGTCACCAGGGGCCTGCACCAGAGACCCAGACAAGCTACACAGCAAGTTCAGCACCAGCCTGGGCTACTCAGCCCCAACTGTCTCAAAAACCCAAGATGAACACATACATGTTAGTTTGTTAATTATGCAGGCATTTTTTGCTTACCAATGATGTTAAAGACAGTAGCCCAATGAATACAGTGAGATGCAAAGCGAAGTCCAAGTCAAAAAAGTCACACCAAAGTATTCCTGTCCTCTCCACTTACTGATATACAAATATATCAGTAAGTGGAGAGCCACAGACTAAAACATGGTTGCCAAGTATGGTGGCACATGTCTGTGATGCAAGCATGGGGCAGGCTGAGGCAGGAGGATCACTGCAAGTTCAAAACCGACCAAGGCTACAAAGAAAACTCAAGACCAGCCTGAGCTGCACAGTCAGACATTGTCTCTGAAAGACAAAATAATAATAATACATGGTTGAAGTATTACTTGCCAAAAAATTTAATTTTATAATATAATTTTATAGAGCTATCACATGTATTTCACAGAAACAAAACTTTTTAGAACAATACCTATTATATAATTTGCTAGAAATCCTTTCATTTCTTACATCAGGGTTGTGGTAGACAATATGTATATTTCTGGGATACAGTGAGTAAAGACTAAATTTTTTAAAGGCACAAAATGTAAAATATTCATAGTCAGACAAGAATGTCCATTGCTGATCTGCAAGGAAGCAAATACTGAATCGACAAGAGAATGTCTGACCTCCAAGCATGAGTTTGCCAGACTTTGCAGTGAACAATGTGGACAGGACTCTGACAGAAGGGTACAGGGCACCTGGCTTCAGGCCCAGGCAGATGTCATGTGGCTCTGAAGCCAGGTCCTCAGCTCTTGCCAGGGGGTGCTACACCATTAGGGCACAAGACACTCAGCTGTCCTGCTACAGGCTCGGGAGTGCTCTGGGCTCCAGTCACTTGGAGGCACCTGGTTCCTTGTTGGCAAGATTCTGGAAAAAGTTTTCAAGTTCTTCAAGGTCCTTGGGGGAGTCTGAGCTCTGGAGAAATGGGAGTGTGTTGGGCCGCAACACTGACTCTAACAAGAGCTCGGAGATTGTAGGGTCTTGCAGCTCATCTGGGTCTTGGGGATTGGCTGGGGCTGGGGCTGGGGTGGCAGCATCCTGGGTCCCCTGCTGTCTGTGGTTTCTGGGCTGTCCCAAGGCCTGGTTGTAGTCACAGAAGGTGGAGAAGGTGGGCTCCTCTGCCAGGAAAGCACTGGAAGGGCCGGGTGCAGGGACCTGGAAAGTTGCAGACACTGGGAGCACGGGGGTCGCATCTGTAGGGGCCTGCACCAGAGCAGGATGCTGGCCTTGGCCAGAGCTGGAGCTGGGGCCAGAGTCAGAGGCCTGACCAGGAGCAGGTTGCTCCTGGGGGCCTTGAGCCCCAGACTGTTGCTGTCTTCCAAGCTGCTCCCGCCGGGACTTGGCCCTCCGATTCTTAAACCACACCTGAAGAGACATGGAGCAGGGAGGAGTTGTCATTGAGAGGCACCTGGGAGAGGGCCAAAGTCCCTCACGCTAGCCTTGCATGCACCCAGGGCTCTTAGGGTAGACCCAAATCCAGCCCCAAGACCTTGGCCAACCCCAAGTCCTTCTGCAGCTCAGGCCACCAATGCGGTTGGGGTCCTCATGTGGGGTCCTCATGTAGGGTCCACAGACCTTTAATGTTTTCTTGGACACCTTCAGCTTTTTCTCCAGCTCTTCCATCTGCTCCAGCGTCGGGTTCTTCGTCCTGGCAAACAGGTCCTCTAGCTTGCACTTCTGCTCCGGTGTGTATGCAGTGCGCTGCTGCCGCAGCTTCTTGAGCTTTACAGGGCCTGTGAAGGCTGGGAGCTCTTGAGGGCCTGGGATGCCTGAAGGCCTTGGATTTGTGAAGGGTGGGGTAACTGTGCATTTTGGTGAGGGAAAGAAGTGGTATGGAGGAAAGACAGGCCTTTGGAGTGCCGAGGGGCCTGAGAAAGTTGGGAGTGCTGGGCAAAATTGACGAGTTGGAGTGACGAGGCGGAACTGAGGGAATGAGGAACTCTGGGGACCTGGGTTACTTGGGGGAACTGGGTAAGCATGAGGAGCTTGGGGATGCAAGGGCATTGGGGGAACCGGAGCATGCCAGGCTGCTGGGGTATTTGAGAAGCCTGAGAAAGAGAGGGAAGCAAGAGCAGTAGGTCAGAGGCCTCACACTGTCCCCACGGTCTCTAGGCACTATTCAGGTCCAGGCCCTGGGGAGGCACAGGCAGCCCAGGCCTACAGGAGACCCAACCCAAGGCAGAAGGTGGAGAGCCATCCCGACCCACCTAGCCAGACCCCACATCTCTACCTCCCACCAACACTCTACACCCAAGGGCATCCAGGGCCACATCTTAGTAGTAGGGTTGAACCCAGATCCTGTGTGGCTGCTGAACTTTTAGCCCAGAGTGGCCTAGGGGTTTCTGCCTCCCCCAACATCACCCACAGCTGCCTGCTCAGCCCTGGGCCTCCCAGAAGGACTGCAAAGGACCATGACACTGTGGGTATCTGGGTCTTCATTCCATAAACAACCCAGCTTTGCATCCCAAGTCCCAAACCCAGGAAAATCTTCAGCCTCAAACCCAGGATGTCTCTCCAACACCACCCTGGACCCTGAGCCCGAGCCCAAGCCCCAGCCCCAGCCCCAGCCCCAGCCCCAGCTCACCCTGGAAGCTACCAGGCTGCTGCATACTAGCTCCTTTCCTGCTCCTATACCTGCAATCCCTAGAAGGACTCAGGTTTAAATCTCAGTTCCTGCTCTGCCCAGGACCACAGGACCCTCCCTCCATATCCACCCTGCCCCGCCTTCTCCACCTAGATGCCCATCCCTCCCTCGCTGAACACTACTGAGGCCCAAGTGTGAGTTTGGGGTGGAATGCAGCCTTGAAACTCACAGGTACAGCCTAAAGAAGATGCCACATGGGGGTATCTTGAGGGCAACAAATGGGAGCTCCCCAGTGTGAGGGAGCTTCCACAGTTCACCAAAGAAAGGGCACCACTACTTTCCATTGCTGGGAACATGTTGCTGTTTCCTGGGGAGGCACTGAACCATCTTCTACTTCCACCATGGAGCCTGAGTGTCCTTCTCCTGAGTCTGGCTGCATCATTCACTTCATTATTAAACTTCTCATTTTTTCCTGGTACTCAGCAGACCTCTGAGGTCAGGGAACCATCAGTCTTACTCTCTCAGTCAAAGGAAACTTTTATTATAATCACTTTTATGATAATAACACCTATACTCCCAACCCTTGAGAGGCTGAAGCAGGAGGATAGCTGTGAGTTGCAGGTAAACCTGGACTTCATAATGCATTCAAGGCCACCCAAAATACATAGCCAGACTTTGCTTTAAGAAGAAAAGAAAATAATGACTAAAAGGTAATTTAACTATTCCCTGAATCTTTGCAGACAAACCCCAATTCTATGCAAGGTCCTTTCAAACACACTCTCATGGATGTGGGCCTAAAACCTAAGGCAACAAACTCAGCTGAGAATAGCTTTTCCCATTGTGGGCATTGGTGGAGGACAGGACAGGGGCATTACGAAGTCAACACTGACATCAGTCAACACTGACATCAGCCTACCCTCAAAATGCCTTCTTAGGAAAAGAATTTGAATCTTCCTGCTCCTCCATTTTCACTTCAGCACTCCAATAAGCAGATTCTGTCCTCTCCTCTCCTCTCCTCTCCTCTCCTCTCCTCTCCTCTCCTCCCCTTCCCTCCCCTCCCC